AAGACCCGAGTTCAATTCTGAATGTTGGTGAATATCTGCCTATGTCTATATACCCCACTCCTCCCACAGACACAAAGAGAGACACACAGAGACTGACACATGCGTGCGCACACAAGCACACATGTATGTGCATATGCATGCACACATTGCTTTGACATGAAAGAGAGTTAAGAGTAGAGAAGGGATGTATTTGTCTTTAAATATTACAAACCCATGTTGTAATCTGAATGCATTTCTCTATACCAAAATCATAGGTTGAAATCCAATGATTGTTGCAAGGCACTGGAAAGAGGGGCGTGGGACAGCTCGCTATCACATGAATGATATTGGTGGCCTTATAAACCAGATGCCAGAGAAATAGTACTCTCCACCATAATACCGCATAAGTCCAGATAAAAAGCTAGTGTCCTGTATGAAGCAGAGAGGAGCTTTACACTTGATCATGGATTTCACACCTTCAGAAATATAAGCAATGCATGTTATGTATGAGACAGCAGATTATAATATTTTTGTTATAGTCGGCATACTACGTTAAGAAGTATGAACTAGAACTAGGATGAAAACTGCAAGTACAAAAATGGATTTTTACTTTAAAACCTTGCATAAGTCACAAGCTAAGACAATGAGAATCATACTGATAATCATATTCTCCATTTTGTTATATATGGTTTACAGAGTCTTGTTGTTTCTCAGTATAGCTTGATACTGTAAATACTAATGAGAACTCCAAACATTTCCCCTTGTCTGGAAATAAGAAAAGTAAAACCCAGAAAAGGTAAGCTACATGCCATGAGGCACATATATTGTAATAAATAGTTTTATAAGATAAAGATTCTGTGGCTAAAGAAAATATTTTAAATGGAGGCTCTCTTGGGAGACAGTGCAGCACCAAGTGTAGAGTTTTCATGCCACCCTTGCATGTAAAATTAAAAACCAAGTTATAACTCATCATTCATGCTTCTAATGCAGCCTTTTCAATATCTATAAAGTTAATTTATATTATGAAAGGAAAATAAAGGTCACAAGAATCAAGGAACATTAGTGAAATAAGCAACTTCAATTGACATTGATATTTATTATAAAAACAGTTCGGTTCTCATACATCTCTGTACTGATCACGTTAACTCTACAGAGTCACAGCAGGGTTCTGTGGGAGGCAATTGTCATAGCTAATCATCAGCTTGCTGTGATAAAATATCTTGGCAAAATAATGTAAGGGAGGAATGCTAATTTTGACCCAGAGTGCAAGGCTCTGGGTCCATCCAGATAGGACAGGACATAGGCATACTCAAGGGGTTTGAAGAATTAGTGTGAACAGGGAAAGAGAACAAACATCAGGAGTGGAGGCAGGGGCAGAGAGGCAATGCTAGAACAGTCATGTTCAGAGGACTGAGAGATATGGTTTGGATTATTCTAGAAAGTAAGAAACATGTCTAGTAGGGTAGAATTCTTCAAACCTTTCTATCGCTCTGGTTAGAAGGGAAAATGCTGTCCCTTCACTTACAAAGTCTCTGGATAGGAAAAGAATGACTAACCAGAGAGACACTCATTGAGTTGCGGAGATCAAAGCAGGGCCTGTGGAAACAAAACTCTAAAAGAGATTTGGTGTGACACAGGCTGTAGAGCTAGAAGGTGAGCTTTTCAATGGACATCCTCAGCTGAGTTGACAGAGATGGAAACATTCCTGACATGTCTGGGCAAATGACACCGAGCAATGATATCAATGTGGTGACCACCTTCCTCTAGCTCAGCGGTTCTCAACCTTTTTAATAGTGTGACCCTTTAATACATTACTCATGTTATGACCCCCAACCATACAATTATCTTCATTGCTACTTCGTAACTGTAATTTTGTTACTGCTATGAATTGCATTGTAAATATCTGACATGGAGAATATCTGATATGTGACCCACAAAGGGGTCACAAGCTGTGGGAAACACCGATCTTTCTATACAAGTAAGCACACTACCACAGAGCCTAAGTCAACAAAGTCTTAACTATCAGGCAGGGTATTGAACATGGGACCTGAGACTTGAGACTGGGTTCTCAAAAACAGGTCTGGAAGGCTTAGTGACAACTTGTCCCAGTCACTGAGTTTAAGAGTCCTCTCAGCCATTGATGCCAGATATTGCTATCCTCTGCTACATATGCAGCTGGGACATGAGTCCCTCTTTGGTTGGTGGTTTAGTCTCTGGGAGCTCTGGGGGGTCTAGTTGGGTGATATTATTGTTCTTCCTATGGGATTGCAAATCCCTACAGCTCCTTCAGTTCTTCCTCTAACTCCTCCATCAGGGTCCCCATGCTCAGTCTGATGATTGGCTACAAACATCTCTTGGTCCTGTGAAGGCTCGATGCTCTAGCATAGGGAAATGCTAGGGTGGTAAGGTGGGAGTGGGTGGGTGGGTGGGGACGCACCTTCATAGAAGCAGGAAAGTAGGGGAAATGGTGTAGGGGATTTGTGGGGGGGGGGCTGGGAAGGGGGATAATATTTGAAATGTAAATAAAATAACCAGTTAAAAAAAAGAAAAAAATCTTATTTTTATAGGCTATGTTATGAACTATGAGTGATACTTTCAACATTATCAATTCATAATAAAAGATTAATAGTTAAAAAATATTCCTTCCCCGGAAAATGAAAGAAACTTCAACAGAAGACAGTGAAGAGAAGAAGGCAATTCCATTTCAAAGGCAATTTCAAAGTTTTAATATCTTTTTAAAAAATTTTTCTTATTTTTATTTTCATTTATATTTTTATATTTCAATCCTAAGGGATCAATGGGAAGAGAGTAAAAAGATGTTAAAAGAATATAATGGAATATATTGACAAGAGGACAGAAAGATGCTAATGTGGGAAGGACAGGGACCAGCAAATAGGGAGAGAGGACCGGACAAGGATGACTAAGAATAGTATGAATGAAATACGATATTTATGACTATAGCTAGGTGTGATACTTTAAAATGTATTGAAGAAATTAAATTAAATGTCTAGGTATGGAATTTCAAGCCTTTAATCTTAGAACTTGAGAGGCAGAGGCAGGTAGATCTCTCTAAGTTCACTGTGGACGTAGTGAAACAGTAATCAACAAATCCTCACATACTCCTGACACTTTAATTTAAAAAAGATACCAGAACCAGGAAGTATGTGTATCTGTAATTATATTTGATTATATATTTATATATATTTATATACTTGTTAATTGGTACTCACATAGATTTAAATTTCACCAATTATCTACGATATGAATGTATTATGCTTGGAATACACAATGCAGAAAACAAGTTTGTGGGCTAAGGACATGGCTTCGTCAATGAAGTGCTTACTGAAAACTGGGTCCTAAGCACTCATGTAAAAGTTTAGTGTGCATCTGTGACCCAAGTGCCAGGTTGTTACAAACAGGCTTACCCTTAGTCAGCCACTCTAGCTAGTTAGTGACCATGATCACTGAGCAAATCTGTCTAAAAATTCAAGTGACTGAAGAAGATAGCCAATGTCAACTTCTGGCCTCCACAGAAGCTCACACTTGTTTGTCTATTTGTGTGTAGATATGCATACACATGTACATACCACCCTCACACACATAAAGATTAATAAAATTTAGAGGTATAGAATAATGGAATTTGCTGTAAAGGATGCAGTGAACCCTGTCTGTATATCCATGTATCTGTATGTGTTTGAATGGTAGAATAGTATCTTATATTTATATCAGTAATATCACAGTATTATTGCTATAAAATTAGGCACTATAATTTTCATAATGAAATCTCTGAATGTTTGTTATTTTAAAAAGTATTATCAGAATCTCTTCGCTTTTGGTTTTGGAGGAGCAAGCCTTATGTAGGCATGCAGTATGTGTCCACAGGCAGGCAGGATGTTCCTAGAACACAAACTGACTCTTGCAGGAACATTTGAAAAAGTTACCAGCTACTCGTGCTTGGAAAATTCTCAGACACATAAGCAGAGTCTTCGGTAGAAGTAGTAATATATGTAAAAAAGACTCTTGAGAGACACAGTGACATCCCTGAGGGGACCCGGAAAGGGTGCTGGTGTTAACTTCCAGAGTTGAAAGGGTGGGAACATTGGGCTCAGAGTGGAATGCTTATAGCCAGCATCCTGCTCTATCGTGGCGCTTTGTACTTTTATACTTACATCAGAGGAGCTGAATTTTAATGATTTCTATTGGCATCTTTTTGAATCACATTCCTGTCACCATAGAAACAACAGTACAATACTTCTCATCATCTGCTATTATAAGACCAAATTTTACAATAGCGTGCTAATTTTTACTGTTTTTCTCAATGTAAGCAGTACCAGTCATATTGCTGAGTTTTTAATCAATTCTTAAATTTATTGGTTTAATTACTTCTAAGAGTAAATATTAATCTCATAGCGTCTAGAGGTTTTTTTTTTTTTGCAAGAAACACAGCCATAGTTTCAATAGAAGCAGTTCAAGAATGATCTTATTTCGCTCATAATTAATCACTTATCTGCTAGATAGTATGAGCAGAAATTTATCATATAAGATCCTCATGAATTCTACTACTAGATAACTATGCAACCTACTGCAACGACTTCATACACGGAAAAGTAGCATTTCAATGATCAGATATGCACATTTAAGCAAAGGGATTCCTTAAAGGGATGGGTGATTTGGTCCACTGGCATGCAATTATTTAAAGAAGACATGGAAAATGAAAACTAGAGAGGTTGTAACCTGAATTAGAAGTTACTTCCATCTTCACCCAGATGGCTTTTAACCACTACAGCTATTGAATCTCCAGCTTCAAACACCACCATAAACATAACGTGTACATGAAAATACCCGTTTTCCAGTAGTTAAACAATAACCAGAAAAATGGCAACTGTCGTTTGAGTTGGACAGCTGTTGTGCAGAAATATTTCGCACGGATTGAATGCTAAGAATCATGTCTTCTGTTCATACAGAAGTGCCATCATCTCTTTATTCCTGCACAGAAACCGAGGGAAAGGGAATTTACTCACACTGTACAATGAGCTGTACCAAGGCTTCTCTCGGCTTCACGTTGAATCCATTGTACTGGCTGGTCTGGCATCTGTACATCCCTGACATTTCCCTTGACACATTCACAATCCTGAGGGTTCCATCGTAACTCTCCATTTGCATTGTCCCATCAGGCATTGCGACTTCTTTATCTGCTCTAGACCAAAGGATGATTGGTTTTGGTTTCCCAGTTACTTGACACTGAAGTTCTATTGTGTCTCCTTCTCTGGTGACCAAAGGTGATTTTTCCTGTGGAACAGTCAGATTGGGTGGAACTTGAAATGGGAAAAAGAAAATTTTTCAAGGTTAGTATAAACTGTAATATATGTGACAGTAAATGTAATAAAGTAATAAAATTGCATTTAACACATATGATGACTTCCCTACTATGTGCCAATATTTTAAAGATATGTGTAAAGATTTTAAATTTCTATTCAACTCTCTTTATTAAGAAAATAAAGAGAGTTAAATTATAATCCTAAGAAGTAAATATTTAATATTAAAACTTATCCAATGAGAACACCCAGTCCTAGGATGCCAAATACATTGATTTGATTAGAAATGAAGACACTGACAATTTTGCATGACACTGGAAGCTAGTCCAAGAAGTCATGGTCTCTACAAGTGAGGAATAGACTACGTTCCTAGCATCCATACCCACTGGCTTCACAGGGTCATCACAGGACCACTTTAAATGCCCTGGTCTTTGACAAGAGGTAAAAAGAAATACAAATGACTTCATGGTGGATAGTTCACAAGATTATCTGTCTTATATTATCTTAACTAAAGCTCCCTCTATTAGAATATTTTGAATGTGTCAGATTTATTGTAACATATATCAGTCCAAGTATGCATCCAAACTTTAATTAACCTCTGTAAATTAAATGAAAAATAAAAACAATATAATTTAAAAGACTATTTAACAGACTGCTGTTGCTTTAAATATTTACTCTATATAATTCCCCAAAGCCAAACCGTGGGTAAATGTACTCAATCTCAGCAACAATTTCTAAAGTTTTGCAACTAAATATTTGCCTTTTTTTGTATGAGCCATAATGTTGCTCACCCTTCAATAGGAGCAGAGCACAAAGAGATGTGGCCGAGTCAGAGGCGAGCATTTATGTCTTGACTTATAATATTATGACTATGTAAAGATCTTAAGACATTAGACCATTATAATTAAATGCTTGACTATCCAAAATTTCCCTAAAACTTTACTATGATAAAAGTACAAAATTTTTCTTTGTACATTTATTATTTATTTGCTTAAAGTATTTAAATTTGTCTAATTAAACTTAGTGAAACAGAATTCAGTTTTTATCTTGACAGCTTAAAAAATAGATGTTTTTGTGTATTACCTCATGTTTTACTAAGCAAAAAAACTGCATTAAATAACACTTTGTTATCCTTTTCTTCTGTAAGATGTTCTGTTTACTTTCGTTGCTACCTGATGCCATGATAAGTGTGGGTCCATAGCCTAGACTTCCAGGGCCTCCCAAGTGCTATGCTTACGGGAGTTCACACTACACAGGCTTAAGGACTTTAAATCTTGAATCAGAGAGAGTCTTTCTTAAGCCAAAAATTACAAAATAGACATTACAATTTCTAAATGTTCTATAAACTTCTCTTATTCTGCTTAGACCAAAGTTTCTAAACACTAAACACTAAAATTCTGAATCATTACTTGTTTTCCATGAGAGATCATGATTACTCTTATTGAGTTTTCACTGCTTTACATGATAACAGGAGAGATTATTATCTTTTCTAAATTCTGCCAGTCTACAGTTGCAATCTATTTTTATATTACAAGTTTTTTAAATCTCCAAATTCAAATACCAATCATTTATTGAATGAATAATTACCAATATATGCCATTTTCTAGTTAAAATGATAGTTTTCCTAGTTTTCTCATATCCTCTTGCCTACTACTTCCAAATACTATCTAATATTTGTGTGTTTATATTTGTGAGATATATACTACAAATATATATATATATATATATATATATATATATATAATTTAAAATGTCCTCTACACTTTTTTTTTTTTAAGATCCACTAGCCGATGTCTCAGGAAAGTCATTTGCTTTCTTATCATACATTGTCTCTTTGCCACTAATATCTCACTCTTCCAGTTCACTGCTGCCCCGCCATTAGCTTTTTCATCATAACCACATTCTTGTCCAGATTACTAAGAAATCCAAGACCTCAATATGGTTGCTCCTCAGCACACTGTTTGAAGAAAGTCTGAAGACAGCATGATGGATTTGGTCAGTCATGGAAAAGCCATAGTACAGTATGACAGTATGACAAAGGCTTTTAAAGGATGGTGTGATTTACCTATTGCTACAGATAAAACATTAGTATCGAAGGAACAGGATGTCGGTGGGCAGTGTGAGTAGCTGAGGCCACTATTGTTAGCACGTGGCTCTTCGGTATACACTATTTTATCCAAACTGATTTTAGTCCCCTACCTCCCCAGTTACTATGTGAGATGACAGTTCATGGTTTGTTTCACAACAGTAAATGTTTTATTATCCATATGCATCTTAGAACAACATATTTTACACGTCAAAATGAAAATAAGAGCTTCCTGAGTGAACACACGACGTCATTGCTGTATTGTCAGCATCCAGGAAACAATCTTATACATAATAGGAACTCAGTAAGGTAGTTTATACCTAGCAAATAAATTGTGACAGTGAAATATTGGGCAGTGATTGGGGAGGGAACAGAGACATAGATGGGGGAAGTACAGAAGGAAAACAAATTCTTGTAGGGGCTTCAGTATCACCAGAACTATGCTTTTGCTTAATACACTAGTACTGTCTATTTTTTCATATATTTTGCTTCAGTTTTTGCTTTTTTCCAGTATTTGTGAAACATATTAGCATATCAAGGTTCTAAGAAGCCCATAAAATGTAAAATATTAAAACAATCTATATTCAAAACTTATTCAATGAAAAGTGTATTTTTTTGTGGTATAAATGAATCACTCTTGAATGATGTTCTCAATGACATGGTAATATGTATGTTCTACAGATTTCACTCAGCCCGTATCCCTGATGCTCCTGAGCAAGCAGTTATTACTAATTTATTTCCCACTATTTAAAAGTATGGGGTTCTTGGGGTCTTCTAGCACTCTTGCCTACTGTGTATGTTGAAATTCAGTTCAAATGTTGTTACGTTTTCTCCATGTTTATGTGTGGACAATGTCTGTGCATATGTGTTTGTATGTACATGACTTTACATTACTGCAAGAGTATATGTGTATACACACACGTGTGTGTGTTTCAGTGCATGTTTACATGAGTGTGTGTGTGTGTGTGTATGTGTGTAGGCATGGGATGTCTTTCTTAATGTTGCCCTACCTTTTATATTAAGGCAGACTCTTTGACCTGAATCCAGAATGGTCATCACACATATCCTGTATTTATACAGATATTGGGCATCCATGTTCTATTACCCACACACATATCACCTTTATCCAACACGTACCAGCATTTTTATCATTGAGCCTTCTCCCCTACCTCGGGTGTTGCTACTTTCATCTTCTGTTGTCCTATTTCACTGCCTGGAAATTCATACTTCCTGGCTATGAGAATATCATTTGCCCATTGAGAACAGGGGTTCTTTGGGTTCTACTGAGAACTTTCCCCATTTCTAAGCGACAAGACAGTCAGTCCTTTGCGGACACTGTTTTTGATGTTGTTAGTAAAATGTGGTGACTGGCTCTGCTGTCTAAACTGACAGCACATGAAATAGCCAAGTAAGGAAGAAAGGAAAAAGAGTGGGCTGCAGGACGGCAGAGTTACAGAGCTGGACTAGTATAGACAGTAGAAATAAACTGACATGAGGCATGAGCATCTTAAAAAGCAACACGTACTAAAATGAACTGAATCTGGAATTAGTTAATTCATATAAGTAGAATTTTGTAAAATAAATGAATGAAGCTTGGGTACATTTATGGTACAGATGTTGCCATTTGGTGAGAGAGTTTTAAAAAGTGATCCATCATTTTTCATTTAAAATTACCAATGGGAAAGCTCCAAATCGATTTTAAATCAAAGGAGAGGCAGTATAATGGCACACAATTAATTGCATTCTGATTCTTTAAGATCGTTTATATGAATTATAGTATTTATTGTTCTTTAGCAAATAGAAGACAACGATCTGATCTGCTTGTACCTTGTGATAAAAAAACAAATCCCTGCAAATGAAAATATAGGTATATATTCTGACATAGTCCATACTGAAATACTGCAGTGGAAGTTTCTACAGACAGAAGATATGGGAAAGTCCTGCTAAAAGATCCGTTTTTTCCCCTTTCAAACATTAAGAAAAAAAAAAAGATAAATTGAACAAATTGGTTTTCTGACAACTTTTTCATTGTGTCACAGACTGTAAATAAAAACTGAAGAAAAAAAGAAAATGTTTTGATGCCATCTGTGTTGGGATCAAACAGAGCAGTAACTCATTAGTCTTTACTTTGAAAATGTCATTATTCAAAACGTGTAGGTCCATTTGAAATCCCAGCAATAATAATATCATCAACCAGAAATCAAGATATACTTGTCATCTTATTTGCTGGTGCTGAACTTTAAAAGGAATGTGAAGATGAGAAGGTATGCATTATTTTTAAAATGCAACAAATAGAATTTCCTACAGTGAAATAACTAGACTAATATTTGAAAGACTCTTAAAATAAATATGACATTAATTCAGTTACACTTAAAAGTTTTAGGGAAAATAGTTTATACAAGGTGCTTATATTTTTGAGTAGGGTGCATAATTGATACTAAAATATAAAAAATAAAAATAAAAATAAGGAAGATTTTGAAGAAACAATGGGTTTATTAAAGTGACTTTTAAAGGCAAGAATTCAAGAACTGTCATACTAGATAGACACAAACTGATGCAAAGAATATATATATATATATGCACAGAATATTTACTATATTATATATTATATATATGAACAGAATATTTACTATTATATACATATATACATATATATACATATCTATCTATATCTATATCTATCTATCTATCATCTATCTATCTATCTATCTATCTATCTATCTATCTATATAAAATTTTCAGATATAAATAATCCAAATGAGGGCTAGGGATTTAGTTAGTGAGAGTCCTTGTCTAATATGTACAGAGTTCTGCACTAGGTTTCCAGTACTACACACACAAAGGCAATGATGACGTAAATGGATAAAAGCACACGAGTGTGTGCATGTATGTTTTCTCTTCAAAAACAATGGGA